ATCCACATGGCTGGCGACGACGAGAGTTTCACAGGAGCTTCCTGTGACTGACAGCCGCTCAGAGGGCCAGGAAGGAGGGCCGCCAACTTTGTGTCCAATTCAATTCTCTTGCCCAGAAACTTTCACACCCCTTCCCTGGGGGCCATATGCGTGCACTAAATTAGTCAAATGGAGTAGTTTTTTATGTAATTTCCCTTTGTGATTTCCGGATTTCACAGGAACATTGCCCAAGGCAGCCGAATACAGAGATAAAGTGAATTCTTCATCCCATTGTCCGTATTTTTGAGCCTTTTGTCAGTTACTACTAGCTTGACTACCCGTTTTCTGTGGCTTTAATCAAACTTCAGGTGTTCTGGTCCTTAAGATTTAATTTTAATAGCTTGTGTGTTTCTATGACAACTTTACCGGATTTTTAGCTTTTTTCCTTGCAGAAGACATTCTGAACACTATCAAAAGATGTGAAATCATAAAGTTGCCATGGTAATATAGAGATAGTTTTTAACATTATTTTTATAGAACTTGCTCGAACTTGAATGGGAATAATTCTTGACAGCTTTTAGGTAATATTTGCTGCAGTTTTCTGTTCATTTTTGATATAAATCTACTTGAAATGCCATGTTGAAGAGAAATGGCAAGCCCGGACCGAGTAAAATCAAAGACTGTAATCTTTCAATGAGGGAATGAAAAATTGAAGTGCCCACTATAAATACATGAATAAATTCTTATAGAAAAACATAATATACGATGTGGAGCCTTCCTTCGTACACAGAGCTTGCTCCTTTGTTTGCCTTGGCCGACTGCCCAAACATGAGCTTGGAATCCAGTCAGTGCGAACATCTATGGGGAAAACATAAAAAGTATAAAGTACAAAAAGAAAAAATCCTGAAAACTTCAATCAATGCAAAGGACGCATTGAGGCCAAAAGGTCAGTACCTCGATGGCAAATATTTATTTAAACAAGAGTCAAGTCGAAAAAAAAAAAAGACCTACTCTTGCACGCAGCATAAAAAAAGGAAAAAAAACCATATTAAATATTTACCCTGACCGAAGGCGTGCTCTGGGATTTGATTAAAGCATTTTTGCATGCGCCCACCTTTGGGCATTAATTTTTAATTTTCATTACACAGAATGTTGCATTTCGTCTTGGCAATTATCTGGCGGGAATAAAGCGCAGAGAAAGCGATGAGGAAACGCACTGGAGCGGGGCAAATAAATTAGGCCAATTATATTGAATTGTCTGATTGATTCGACCAACTGCCTTTTGCCGGCCTAATTGCTATTTTTTCTGCCCGCTCTTGCGGACGATGTTGTGCATTAATTTATGCTTTTTCATAAGACGCCGCCTGCTGATGTAATAAACGCATAAAGGATATTAATGAGCTGCTGTTTGCTTATCCTCCTCTCTACGCTTGCCACTCACCCGATTTGCTTTTATTTCAGCTGAAAAGGCAACTAATTGCTTACTTACATATACACACCCTCTCACCCACACTACACACACACACACACACTCGTGCTGCCAACATCTTGGAAAGTGGGGGCAGAGAGAGAACTTATTGCTCATGCTGGCAGGCTATGTTCTCACATATTTCACAAATTGCGCATACGACATGTTAAACGCCTCGCACGCACACATCCCGGCAAACACACGCTCCAAGTCACGGACAAGTCAGCGCCAAGCGCATTACCAGGCCATATATAGTGGGCAGGTTGCCGTAGCCTTTGCCCTGGCTTCCGCTACTCGCTTTTGGCTCCTTTTGTCATATTTCAACTTTTATTTATACACACACAAACAGAGACACTGACAGAAAGGATGTCCGTGCATCAGGACTTCCTTGACGAGATTGAGAATAAGTCGCCTCTGTTAAGAAATAATCGAACTATATACAGTGGAACTTTCAGGTTCACTGAAAGTATATCCAATACCTTAAAAACTTCTTTACTATGATTACTTTCTGCTAACTTAACATTTTTGTTAAATCTACTTAAAATCATGCACATCAAGCACTTATACCCATAAAATTCCGCTCAGTGCATTTGCTGGCACACTCACAATGCCAGTGAAATGTTCTTTGAGTGGCGCTAAAAGTATGCCGCATGGTGTAATAACACGCGTCGACGCCGAGGAGTTGGCGCTTCTTGCGGCGCTTCTTGTGGCGCTTCTGTCGCTCTTACCACTCCTGATGCTCCTGCTGTTGGTCCTGTTAGTCCTGTGACAGTGACAGCGGCGGTACTTACGCTTGTCAAACGCATGCTTATGATATATCACACGCGGGCAGATTCCCCGGAATGGAAGGAGCCATCTCACTGAGCCCGCTCCCAGCTGGCCGATAAGAGGAGGAGGTTGTCAGTTAAATTCACACTGCGTCTATCTGTCGCCTGCATGCGTTGACTGACTGCAGTTGAATTTATATTTTATTTTATTTTACATTATTTTATTTCAAAATTTATGCCATCTGCCAACGCCCGCTTACGCCGAGAGTTATGCGTCTTTGACTTTATTGAGCATGTGGATTGCACAATGCATAAGGGAATTCTCACACCCAGATTGCCATTGCCATTCCCATCTCCATCTCCATCTCCACTTCCATTCTCACACTCAAACCCGTCTCCGCCTCTTTGGGCCCTTCCATTACCATATGGGAATGTTCTTTGGGTTTTTATGCGGCGTTAAATCTTGAGGAAATTGTGTCACATTATGATGAACATTTATGGCAAAGTTGAGCATTTGCCCATAAATTTGTGAGCCTTGATGACGGGATCCAGGAATCTCGAAATGCCGGGATGAATTCGAGTGGGTAAAGGAGCGGGCCTAACGATGATGGAGTAGCTGTGGTAATTTGACAAGGCTAAAATCTGCAGAGACGGCTGATGCCTGATAGGTGGGCGTTAGGCTGTAGCACCTGACCAAGAAAATCAATCAATAGGCAAATAAGCAACTAGACATGTCCACTGCCTGCGGCTGGCAGTTACCGAAATAGCCAGCAGATCAGATCAGTTGGCATTTCGGGAGGCTTTTCGGCCCAGACTCTATTGGCCAAACTGTGTTATTTTCGACACACAATTCCTTATAAATTGGACAACTAATTCTTTGTTGGTAAATGCCTTCTAACTTGGACTAACTGGGGCTTAAAGCGTCAGTAGTTGGCAATAGTTACACGATACTTGGCAGCAACAGCAGCAGCAGCAGCAGCAACAACGACTAGAAGTGAAATGAACTTTTCCCTCTTTGGCCAAAAGGAAAATCCCTTTCATTTGCCTCTTCCTGTTTCGTGTTCGCATTGGCAAACTTTTTTAATTAGCAAATCTTCCACTTGGTGTCGTTAAAGTTCAGGACCCGAACGTCACAATGCAACTGAGTGCGGAGCGGAGTCTTTGCCTCTCCCAGTTAATTAATCAGCAATAAAATATGCTAACCGAATGACATAGGCTGAAAGTCATCAGCAGCCGTAGCAGCAGCAACGGCAGCAGCTGACTTTATAGGGCTAAATATACACATGGTATTATACAGCCCACGGAGCAGACTGATGGAGGAACATGCGTTGCTTGTCGGAAATTTACTAATGAGCAAAGTTTGACTGTCAATAGCCTCAGTCCTCGGCCTGGTTAATTTATGGCCAGGTAACAAGAAAAGAGGGTATAAAGAAAGCATGAAATATAGGTACACTCACGGAAAAGCCTTACTAATAATAATGACAGTTAATATTGAAAAAAAGGTAACTAGATATATCCTAAGTTGAACATAGGTTACTGATCTCTTTAAAATATTTAAATGGCTATATTCAGTAGTTCAACAGATTTTTCTCAGTGCAAGATGACATATGTAACGAGGGGTGTTACACAAAAAGAATAACAACACACTCTCCGGCACTTTTTCAAGTTATTATCTTTTAATCAAAAGGCATCATAAAAATTTATGAACTTTTTCGCGAGAAACACATATACATTCATATTATTTATTTACACTCCTTAACGCACACATCAATTTCGCAGAAGTGTGTGTGTATATGTTGCAGTTGCTCATTAAAAACAGCCTAACATACACACACACACACACACTCTTAGAACAAGGAGCCAAGTTGTCGCATGTTTGCCGATACAAAATGTTGCATAATTAAACGAGCAGGGGCTTTCTGGGTTAAGGTGAAAGTGAAAGAGAAAGTGAGAAGTCCCGGCGACCTGGATCGTCTTCACTCCATTAATACAACAACATTGGTTTAGGGATCAACCAACCATGATGCACGTTCGGCCATCATCGGGTGGTTGTAAGTTGTTGTATTTTGGCTTATCAATTTCGATGCGTTGTTTAATTGTCGACACTCGTGCTGCTCAAACACGCAATTAAAAGGCGCAGCAGCGGCAACATTTGGCTAGGTGATAAAGCGGCACTCAGCGAAGGGCTCGATTTTATGGCCCGGCAACCAGGGGTTAAGCAGATGAAAGTTGAGAGTTGTGGACGGCGGTAATGGGGGATGGCGAAGGTCATGCCTCAGCTGCGACCGAGCACATAAATCTACTGCCTTAATTACGCGTCTCACATTGAAACGCGCCATTAATCACACTTCATCGATGCGATGGCCACATAAAACAACCAATTTCGAGGAGTGTACTTCCCCTCTGAATCCTTTTGTGAGTCAGCCTTATGGGCTCCTTGATTCGACTTCTGGACTTACTCTTTTCATCCAGCTCTTTACGAGCCCAATTTGCCTGGCGTCCAATGTATAAAAATTTTATTAGCACTTTTCATATTTCTGCCAGCCAGTTAATGGTGCACTGAAGTTACAAATTTACAAGCGTATCAAAGTGAAAATAATATTTTTTAGTGTACTCAAAGGTTAAAAACTTTAATTTTCCTAAGAAGTTCTTTTTTCTGCTATATACGAAAAATTTCTTATAAATTGACACATTTTCACTTCATTTTAGATTAAAATTTTTCGTCGTGTACCCCAAAAAACAATCAGCACTTACTCATGTTTTGACGTTTGCCTTTCTATTCACAGGATTCCCCACAAACACTACGCCAGAAAAAGTGAAACGAGAATGTCCATAAAAGGCGAAATAAACATGTAAAAGCACATTAAGCGATGCTACGGACTTGATCTGAGTCACATGGACATGCATTTGTAAATGTCGGCGGAAATGCTCTTTTTATGGGCCAAGAGTACATTGGCGCTTCATTAAAGCCAACGGCGGAAGCGGAAATAGCCGAGCGGCCATAACAAGAAAGACGCGTGTTCTTCTCTCTATTTTTTTCTGTTGGCGCCGCCAGGTCACGCAATTGCCAACTGCAGTTGGCCTGCGAAATTGCAACATTCTGTACTCCTTTTGCACTTCTTTGGGGTTTCTTTGACACTTTGGTCAAATTGAAGTTCGCCACATAAATGACGAGACGTTCTCGCGTTTGGCACAACGCACCGCAAGCACAACAAAATGACAGCCATGCAGCTTTTATTGCCAACAGGCGGAGTACCAACAGCAACAGTGGAAACCGAAACAACAGCCATGCAAACGACATATTGGCAGGAGAAATCCTCCAACAGCAAAAACAACTTCAACACACATCGAAAATCACGGACGAGATGCCCGGACAATGGGAAAACGATTTGGGCTGTCGGCTTGACGATGGTCCTGCTGACTTGCCTGCAGCAGCTAAAATCGGTTTCGGCGGACGAGGAGTCGCAGGATTTTCAAAAGAACAGTGAGTACAAGCCAGTGGCAAACTGTATTACGTGTAATAACAATAACAGCTAACGATTGGCAAGAGGAGTTTGGCTCTGGGTGCGGACTGTAAAGACTGTAAAGAAACTCAAACTCAGTTATTCCCAGCAGTAACGAGCTAGTGGTTTCCCCTCAAATTATTGAAGGGAACTCTTGCTCGTTATGGTCTGCGCTCGTCATTAGGATTTGCCCAAACAATAGAAACTGTTTAAAATGCAGGAATATTTGCTAGGAATAGAAAAGAAAACAACCGAAAACAGTGAGGGACATAACGAAAATCAAGAGTCAGATTTAAGTCAGGATATTTAAGGATAAACAGCATTACATTCACAATATTTTTGGTTTATAAGTATAATTCTTATGCTCTGGTCTTTTAAAGTCACAAGCTTGAATCTGTTTCCAACAGAAAACAGCATAATATGTGCATAACTTAAACTGAAGAGCTAACTCAACTTTTGTAAAAATCCAGTTGCAAGATGTTTTAGATGTCCGTTTTTTCTTTCAACCAGAATTTCATTTCTTGCCTTGGCCAACACCTGTTCACAATCCCATAAGTTCCCACCACTGGCCACTTGATTTGATCATCGGAATGTAAATCCTGGCGGGTATATGGAGCCAAACTATGCCAAGAGGTCATCGCATTTTCGCTCACGTCTGCACAAAACGTTCATCTTGGTGAAGCATTTTGTGCAAACTTGCAAATCATGCGACGACTGCCAAAAATCCTTATCAATGTGCGTTAGATAAAACGTGCAGAAGTTTTTTTCCTCCCATTTTTCTTCTTTTTTTTTTTTGTTCCCTGGCTTTTGGCACATTTTTCAAAACGAAGACAAAACTTGCAAGCCATGGTGCGAGAAGCGTCAGCACTTTTGGCCAAACAACTTTATAATTTGCGAGGTCGAGGATGTGTTGGGTCTGCTTTTCTGTTCGAGAGACCGATAGAAATGATGGAAGTGGAACTGGTGGTGCCTGGTGCTTTTTACGAGCTCCTCAACTGGTTGTTGTTGTGAGTAGTTCGGTCGGCGGTAACCTTGGGGGCAAATCTCATTTCCCAAAAGTCTGATATCGCCCCTTTCTTCCCGCCGGGCAGTCGACAAAAACAAATCATAATTCGGCATCGACATCAGCATATTTTCCTTTTTTGGGGTCGTCGGCGTGTCGGCTTCCTTTGTTGCCTTCTAGAATCCAAAGGATGAGTTAGGTTGAGTTTCCTTGGCTTGGCTTGGCTTGGCTGGGCCGTGCCAAAGGCGGCTGAAATTTATGACAGGATTTGGGCAGAATCGAGACACATTTTCCAGCATTTTCTATTTCGCTGCCGTTTGTCGTCGAGCCGAGACCATCGATGCATGGGATTTTGTAGTAAATTGAATTTCGATACTCGGATTTAGACGTTTTCTGACTTGGGCGTCATGGCCGTTTGGCTTTTGTCTGATCATCCCGGGCATTAAATTTAATTACGTTTGCCGCTTTATTAGCGGCAATCCTCGGTTGACTCCGGTTTCAACATGGCATTTGCCATTTGCATGGCAAAGACGCTTTTCCCGGAGCTCTCAAGTGCTCTGGCTCGTGTGCTATTGATCCGGCTAAAGGAATTTCGGCATGTATCTGAGGCTTTTCTTCGCCTCTGGCTGCACATTGGCCAAAAACACACAAAGCAAACACACACTCCCACACGGCCAACGAACAGTGGTGACGCCCTAAGTGGAATCCAAATGTGCTGCGTATCGTTGGCACATAAACAAGTCCCAGCACATCGCGTGTTTTAGGGGGAACCAGCCAGGAGATATGGCTTCCGTTTGTCGCATGAATATTTTCATCATAATCGTCGCTATTTTTATGTTCCTGCTGACGCTACAGCAACAAATGCACGGGGAAAAAATAGATCAAGAATTGGTTCTCCTTTGGCTTAAATTGGTTTTAAATTGTGACATTCCAACTGGATTTTAGGATAAATATGCTTAAGGAACTTGAAATACTGATTAATATTAATCCTGTTTTATAAAGCAATATGATTGGTTTGGATGTGGAAGAACTCCTGTAAGATTATTTCCGTTTTTTAAATACCTTTTCATCCTAATAATGGGTTATAGGAGCGATTATATTTTTCCAACAAATTAAATTTTCAAAAACAATCAACACCTAAGCACTTAATCATCTCAACATACTCGTAAGATCGTGTTAAATTTTTGTAGTGTAGAAAAAAGTAGAAATGTTTTGGCATTAAGGGGGATTTATTTGCCGGGTGCTGGTGGTGAGTGCTCTATGCAAATCTCTTGCTGTGCTCCTGCTGCTTTTTCGCTGGCCTTGGCTTTGCTTTGATGGGCAATCAACACGCTCGCAAAACAAAATATTCATATGTATGGGAGTTGTAAGAGGAAAAACCACCCCAAGGGCAGTGGGCGTGGGGGTTTAGATCACAAGCGGCGTCACTAAGCGCACATTCGATTGCAATGAAAACATGTACAAGGGCACTCCGTGCCGCATTCTTATTCTTCACTCGCCTCATCAGCGCATCGTTTGTGTTGTAAATTGATTTTTTGTTAATTTTTATGAACTTCAAAGGAAAAACAGCAGTCGAAGGGTGCACGACGCAGCACATGTGCAGCAAGCAGACATCCATCCACCATCTCGAAGCAGCCAGAAGCGTGGAAAAATTTTCACAAATATATATTTCCATACATATTTTATTTATAAACACGCGCGCGTTCGCAGTGTCAAAACAGCATCATAAGCGCTGCCAGGCGGTCAGAATGGATGTGCCCCACCATGTGGAGTGGTGCAATGGTTGTGGATGGGGGTGATGGGGGTGCTGCATATGGATGGAGGATGAGGATACAGAGGTGCTGCACGAGCGGCAGAAGCGCCACAAGTCAAGTGCAGCATCGGTGCTGGCAAATGAAAATTTCGTTGCATTTTGTATCTCTGAAGTTGCGACGCGTCGCAGCAAGATGCAAAGTTCAATTTCACATGTGGAAAATAACAGTGGAACACAGAAAAAAAAATAAGAAGAGGCAGCTCGAAAATACAACAGAGGAAGCACATGTCACACTGCAGTACGTGTGTGCGGTGGAAATGGATGGGGTGTGGGATGAAAATGGTGGAAAAACTGGGGGCAAAATACAAGGGCGGAGGTGGTGCAGCAACTGGCTTGACAGACGGCACAGTCACGAGAGTGGAAAATAAATGGATGCAGCGGGAAATGCTGGGAGTGCCGGAAAGGAAAAGCGCACCACGATAGATGGAATGCCGGGGAGAAAGAATGTCCAGCCAGGTAAAACACTATAGCGATACACCCAAAGATAGCAAAAGACTTGCACATCACTCCGAAATACCTGAAGGGCGAAGAATCCAGGTATTTTGAATATTATTCACCTCGGCAAACCATACCATCCACCCACTCCCAGGAATTTGTAAAAAATTCATCAATTATGCAGCTAACATGAACTGGTTTTCCTAAATGGTTATTTTATTACTTTCACGCTAAAAACTAGCAACTAAAAGTGAATGAGATTTTATTGAAAAGGTTGTTTTTTTAGAAAAGTTTATCTTTACGAAAATACCTTTTCTATCTTTCATTTCGTTCAACAATAATTCCTATTGTTTGGTTAAAGATTTAAGCCAGACAGTTTCCCACTCCCTGTCAAATAACTAAAAAAGGGATTCATTAAAAAGCTGGAAAGTAAGAAAATTCGAATCACAAAAGTGCAGTCGGTTCGATCGATATGTTGACATTATATTGAGAAAAACTTGGTCTTAAAACTACCATTGAGTGGTAAACTCCTTGTCCCATTGTTTGCTCCAACAAAGGCTAGTAGTGGTGGTCCAAGTTGGGGGTTTGGGACATGTGTAGTATCTGGATCTGAAGACAATGACAATTCCCGGGGTAGATTCTGTTAGCCCGCTCCACTCGCCTCTGTATGTTATTCGCACACATTTCACATTTTCTCCGGTCTTAATTTTCTTTTGCACTCGTCCATTTCCCCCAACATCTCCAATCCCCGCCTCTTCTCCGGACACAGAGTGTTTCTCATAAATATTATTGCATTTTCGCATCGCATCTCCTGCTGTTGTTTATGAACTGCATTTTCCCCGCAACTCGGCCATGTGCCACTCAGTTCTCCCTCCCCGAAAAGCTTTCAGAACGAGTTGATTCAACACAACTCTAACAACTTGAACTGGCCGCAACAACTGGCAACAAAAGCGCTGGGAATGGCCACTTCCTGTTTAGCGCGAAATTTCAATTATGAGCAAACACGACCACGCCCCCACCGACCTCAAACGCCCACAAAGAAATAGAATAGATAAAGTAATATGCACAAGTTTCCGTTTTCTTTATTAAACAGAAGAAATCACTTTTGGCCCATTTTCATGGGCATCGGGGCGTGCACTCCTGCAGATGTTTCATTTCTGGCCGGGAAAACGAATCGCTGAAAACGTTTTTCCCCACGCACCATCCAAATATATAGTACATACACTATATATATATATAGAGGAGATATGTATGTTCGCCCAGATGAGAATGTGTTTGTATTCAGTGTTATAAGTTACTGCGCCCGCTGACTACTCAAACGTGACTGGCCAAAGTTTTTCAATAAACTTTAACAAGAAAACATTAAAAAGCCACAACGTTGGCGCATTTCCATTTCCAGTGGCTCAGCGAGCAGCCAAGAAGTCAAAGCTTCAACTCCATAAAAGCGGCAAATAGTTGTGTGAAAAGGCAGTTACCCCCATACCCCATCCACCATTTCCATCTCCATTCTTATAGATCCTTTTTTGTGCGTTTTCCACCCAGTTTTCCCGGGGAGACGGGCGAGTTCGCATATAAATTTCAAATAAAAAGCAAATCTACGGAACTTCTTCTTGGCCAGCTTCGGTGTCAGCTGGTGCCGCTCTAGCTGCTCAGCTTTATGCCCCAACTACACAGGAAATAAAGCGTTTTAAATGATTCTTGGTTAAGACATAAAAATAAACTAGATCAAG